CTCTTTCTGAGATAATGGTTTACTTGCACTGATTTTCCTGAGAGCCATTTGCAAATGCATAAAATAAAAATACCACTTGTGTGTTGGTATATAAATATGACTTCAACTCTCATGTGCATTTTGCAAAACCCTATAAATGATCAGTCTATTCTTAGGCAATTGTTTAGTTTAGCCAATTTACTATTAGTGTGACATAGTGGATAGAAAGTGTTGAACTCCAATAAATTACAGTCTGTTTTAAGAAAGAGACAAATGAAATTAGAGTTCATATGTCCACTCTAATTTCTCTTAATCTGGCTTGACATGCATTGTATGGGAGTTACGGTTCAGAACTAGGCCTTCCTAAGGGGGCCAGTCCAGAACTGGCTCGATTTGGGATTTGGGGATATATATATATATATATATATATATATATATATATATATATATATATATACATAAACATAAATACCTTCTCAACAGGGGTTGCTATCAATCTTCCATCTTTCCAGAGCATCCCCAGCCTTGTTCAGTCTAAGTAGAAGAATCTGTCTCCACCCAAGCCTGAGTAGGATAAAATCAATTCAGGCTTACGTTGAGTTTAACCAGGATAAGAAGATTCAATGCAATCTCATTATTAGTAATGTCCTTCTGAAGGATTTTGGAGCAGAAAGCTGTGGACGAGAGCTCTGAAGCTCCAAGATAGAAAAAAAAATCATTTTTCACAAGAGCTGTCCTTGAAGCCAGGAAGATATGTGTTCAAGTCCTGCCCTTGACACACACTGGCCATATTACCTCTCAGTGTTTCAGGTAACTGTCTAAAACTATAAGTCTCATAGAAGGTGTTGATCTGTACTGAAAGAGGAAATTTTCCTCAGGAAGGAGTTCCTTAAAACAATGAAATCACAAGTCTACTTCTTAACTACTATTATATCTAGAGACGGAATTGATTTTCTTTTTCACCATTATTGACCCATATAAGTATGACGTGTCAGAGTCCTAGTTGGCAAGAAGAGTAGGAAGGGATAGCAAAAGTCACCAGAAATCTCTACAGGGTTAATAATGTCTGGCAGGTCAAAATTTAGAGAGCTATCACTTTGCCTTCCAGGGTATATAGAAGGGAAGTCTAGCCAAGAAAAGAAGCCAATTTCATGAATTATTTTTATATTCATTTTATACTTGTGGCATGATATATTTTCTAAGTGCATCATGATTACTTTTTTTTTTATTAGTTATTAGCTCAATTCCCAAGGAAATGTAAAGAAAGGGAAGGAGGCTGGGTAGATAAGCTTATGACTATATGCCATTGGTCAGAAATGAATCATAAAGCTTCCATTTTAAAAGGATGTTTTGAATCCAACTTAATGAACATACACCGCAGAAAGGAAAAAACAGTTGTATGACTGATCCGGTGTGTAATCTAAAATAGACCAAATCATTGAGGAGGCCGTGGGATTGACTTTCTTACAACCTTACATTAAAAAGCAAACCAAACAGCCAACCAAACCAAGTTCAGAACACATTTCACAGAACTCTAAAGCCAAAAAGGACCTTAGAAGGGAGTGCACAAGATGCTGTGGAAAGCAGTGGATTCACTGTCAGAATACCTGGGTTGGAATCCTGAGTCTGCCATGCACTACCTATGTAACTCTGTAATCACTTTATCTTTCTGAGCCTCAGTTTCCTCATCTGCTAGATAAAGGGGTTAGGATAGATGACCTCTAAGGTTCCTTCCAGTTGTAAATTTATGACTTGAAATGAAAAGTCATTCAATTACATTTCATCAATCTTTATTTTAGATATGAGAAGACATATCTAGAGAGGTTGGGGCATATCCTTTAGGTCACACTGCTTTGTTAGCAGCAGAGCCAGTATACTAGAACCACGATCAGGTAATCTTTCTGACACCTATACTCCCTCAAGGAATTTAAGCAAGTTTCAAGGAAAAAGAAATCTTTTAAAAATATAATATTTTATTTTTCTCCTATTACATGTTGAAACAATTTTAAACATTTTTTTTAAATTTTGAGTTCCAAATTATAACCTCCCTCCCTCCCTTCCCCCTTCCCTGATGTTATAAGTAATCCAATATGTTATACATGTGTAATCATGTAAAACATTTCCATATTGGTCAGAAAAAAACCCCCAAACATCTTTATGACATGAAATTAAAAGTAGTTTGATTCAACATCCTCATTGCCCGTATCTGAAGACATATTCAGAAAAGTTAGAGGATATTCTTTAGGTCACACAGTTAGTTAATAGCAGAGCCAATACTCTCGAGTCATCTATGAGTTACAACATATAGTCTACCGTTAGGGTCTTCTGCATGACTATATCCACACTCAGAGTGCTAGCTCTTCCAAATGAATTTTCGTTGTTGGTAAGAAACCCTAAATTCATTATATCCACAGATCCAAGATATGAAGTTTTAGGCAGTCCTGTCGACAGATTTGAATCATGCCTCAGATACTAGTTATATAATCCTAGGAAACTCACAACCCTTTTGTGCCTCAGTTTCCTCATCTGTAAAAGGATAGAGTTGGACTTGATGGCTTCTGCGGTCCCTTTCAGCTCTAAATCTCTGATCCTGTAACTTCTGTGAGCTTAGGATCTTCTGTATGATATATTCTTTTTGCTCGTCTTTTTGCTCATTAGTGGTGGTTGTCAAGGATCTGTGGGGTATAAACAGTTCAGGGTTGAGATGAATCCATCCTAATAAGGACTTTGGAACACAGGGAAGATGAAGAGTAAGGAGGATAATCCTAGCTGGCAGGTGCTGGTACTGGGGAGAGAGCTGTGGTGTGTGTGTGGGGGGAATGATCTGTGGTGGGATTAACATGACATTTATCTATTAAGGACAATGCATTTGATATTACTAGGAGAGTAATGTAACTATCCCTGACTCATGAAAGAATCGATTATGTTGCTCCAGATAACTAATCTTCAGTACTGTTGGGAACAGGTGTATTGGGTAATAGTCAGGCTTAGGACTTTTCAATGTTTTCCCATTCAAACTGCTAAAGGCTTAATTCCCTGGGTCTGTATCAAAGCAGGTATCTCTCAATTGTTTCAGTAACCACTGTCATGGCATAGGACTTAATGGTAAATTCATTTTGGGCTAGGATTGATTCTAACAAGTTGGCATAAACCCTAAAGTCTAATATCACTAGGAATGATAATATCCAAAGTTTGAATTTGGATATTGAAATTCAAGAAGAGATGTGTTGTGGAATAGGATAGGACAATTAGTTATTCTGTGATTGTCTCCCGCTTGAGTGAAACACTCTGGCCTACGTATCCAACTCCTCCTTGCCTCCATATTCCAGAGGGTCTTATAAGAGAATGGTAGTGGGAAAAAAAAGAGAGAGAATGATAGTGGGCCTGCACTTCAGGTATGTCTATGCTCATGTTTCCAGATGAGCATGAGTTGAACTTAATCATCATGGGGTAGCCAAACTTTCCAGATATACATCCATCAAGATGGAAGCATTATATGATAAATCCTGACTTTGGATTCAGAAGAAATCTACTGTGGCCCCATGCTTCTTCTGAAGATGTTCCATCTGCTCATTAACAATCTTGACTCTAAGAGTCTCTTTGGGTTCCTGAAGGAAGTTGTCCATCGCATGGTTGGTACAATGGGGAGAGTACTGATTTACTCTCTGTAGTCATAGGATATGGATTCAAATTCTGGTTCTGCCACTTATTACCCATGTGACCTTAAGCAATTCACTCAATTTCTTCTTCTTCTGTTCTCCTCTTCCAGCTCTAAATATATAAACCCATGATAATTCTACTAATACATATTCATATAGCATTTTAAGTTCTAAAAAGCATTTTCTTAACAGTCCGGTGAGATAGGAAAGATAAGTATTGCTATCCATTTTTTACAGATGAAGAAACTGAGTTTTAGAGTTGGAAGTAATTTGTCCATAGCCACATAACTTGTAACTGTCACATGTGGGATTTGAACCATTGATTTCCATGTTTAATTCTAGTATACTGGGTTGAAGGAGGAGGTATCCCAACAGGTAGACTGCCCTGTTAGGTAGGGTAAAACAAAAGCCACCTTGTCATGACTCGTGGAACAGTTGTCCATGAAAGACTTGTATTGAGTCAGCAAGCTTAGGATGAGAGGAGAGTGGATCTTCTCCCTAGTGGAAAAGTCTGAGGGAAAAAATACATGTGCTGTCTGTGGGTAGGATGTATGACTCAAGTCCTTCAGCCAGAAGTTTGCTTCCCACAGGGTGACAAGAACACTTCCAATCATCACCAGCCTGTGGGAAAACTTCTCCAACTTTTGGAACCTGCATAGTTTCAGGAATCTTCTCCAGAAGGACATGCAGAATGGTTCTTCCATGATAGGCAATTTGTGTGGTCAGACAATTCTATTGTATAAGGGAATAGAAGTGGGGGAGCAAGAAGTGGCTGATCAGTGCTGGCAGTCATGGCAATCAGGTTCTTGGGTAAAAAGTGGCAGGAACCTAATGGGGATCTGTGCAAACATAAAACAAAGGCCACGCTGGGTCAGAGTGCCAAATTACAAGTGGTTGAGGCAGCCAGGCAGTGTGTTGGATAGAAGATAGAGCACTGGAGTCCACATCTGGAAAGCCTGAATTCAAATCTTGCCTCAGATACTTACTAGTTATGTGACTCTGGGTAAGTCACTTAAGCTTTCTGTACCTCAGTTTCCTTACATGCGAAAAGAGGCTAGCTGGCATAGAATAAGGAAAAGACAGTAGCTTTATTTGTTCAGAGTAGAGCTAACATCTATATAGTCCTTTAAGATTTGTAAGATACTTTGCAGATACCTCATTTGATCCTCACAACAATCCTGGGAAGAGGGTGCTATTATTAACCCCATTTTACAGATGAGGAAACTGAGGCAGGCAGCGGTTAAGTGACTTACCCAAGAGTCATATAGGTAGTAAATGTCTGAGGCAGGATTTGAAACCAAGTCTTCCAGACTCAAATTCTAACATTATCCATTGTGTCATTTAGCTACTATGATCCTGAGTTAGAGGTGGGATGCCATGCACAGAGGTGGATATTCGGTTTTATACATACATTACCAGATCAAGAGACAAGATGAACATAATTCTAGTGTTCTGACTAGTTGACTTAATTTGCCCCCTTGAAATTCTTCCCTTTGGTCATTACAGAGTTTATTTTCCATCCCAGCTTGTTCTGACGGGCAGAAGCTGTCTGTGTTCTTCCTTGTTCTGAAGTATCAGAGGGAGACCTCAAGCCATGGCCTGATATTACAAGGTTGATGGTAGCCTTTTACCAACTCAGTTACTGCATGTTATGGCCTGGAACTATGAGAATGGGCAAGTCAGGCTCTCCACGTCTTGCTAGAAGGAAGACACATTAATGAGAAAAATGATCAGGCACTGTCCGAGGAACTTGACTTATTACTTATCTTATTGTTAATAATAATTAATGCTAGCATTTATTTAGCATTTTAAAGTTTGCAAAGTACTTTACATATATTATCTCATTTGATCCTCCCCAAAACCCTGGGAAGTAAGTGCTATGTCTTTTTGCTCATCTAGCATGTCCAATTAGTTGGCAAAATTTTTTCCATCCTATTGCTATCCCTGAAATCAAGTCCTCATTCCCTTTCACTTGGACTATTGCAATATCCTCCTAATTGGTCCTTTCCCCCTCCTCCCGCCCCATTTCATCCTAATTAATCTTCCTAATGTTCAGCTCTGTTTATATCACTTCACTGATTCAAAAAGTGTCAGTGGTTCCCCATTGTCAGGCGAATAGAACCCATACTCCTAAATCTGACCTTTAAAGCACACCCCTATACCTTCTATGACTATACCTTACCTATCCAGCCTTGTTTCACACCATCCCCCCTTTCATTTACTCTATGCTTCAGTCAAGTTGAGCTACCACGTTTGCTGACTTTGTGTCTTGCTCACATCATTATCTATGTTTATACTGATCCCTTACCTACTCATCACCATCTGTTGACATGGCAATATTCAAAATACAGTTCATACTTCCCCCATGAAGTCCCTTTAATAGTCTACTAAGGTGGGGAATCTGTGGCTTTGAGGCCATATGTGGCCTTCTAGGTCCTTGGGTGCAGCGTTTTGACTGAGTCCAAGTTTTACAGAACAAATACTTTTATTAAGGAAGTTTGTTCTGTGAAGTTTGGATTCAGTCAAAGGGCTGCAAGGCTGCAGGTTCACCACCCCTGGAGCCAGCAGTGATCTTTTCTTCTCCTCCCACACCTCCTATTTTAATTTATAGATATTTTGTGTGTTTTTGTTGTCATTCAGTTGTTTCAGTTGTGTACAACTCTTTGTGACCCCATTTAAGGTTTTCTTGGCAAAGATACTTGGAGTGGTTTGCCATTTCCTTCTTCAGCTCGTTTTACAGATGATGAAATTGAGGCAAAGAGGGTTAAGTGACTTGCCCAGGATCACACAGCTAGTAAGTGTCTGAGGCAAGATTTGAACTCAGGAAGATGAATCTTCCTGGCCCTCTATGTGCTATTGTGCCCCCTATCTGCCCCAGATTTTTTGTGTACCTGTCATTATTTCTACTGGAGGTCTTTTCATATTCCCTCAATTATTAGTGTCCTTCAGCCCCATTTGCTCTTTGCATCACAGGATCATAGATCAGGGATGGAAGAAAACTCAAGGGCAATCTAGGCTAACCCTTTCATTTTACAGATAGGAAGGTAAAATCTATAGAGAATAAGTGACTTGTCTATGGACACACAGGTTAAAAATGGTGAGCCAAGATTCAGATTCCAAGTTTGAATTCCAAGTTCAGTGGAAAAAGTTACTGTCTGTCATTTATATACATGGTACCACCCTTTTAAGAGGCCTTTCCTGGTTCTCCCGTTTTCTAGTGCCCTGAAGTCACTGTATATTAATATATAGTCTGCATTTACTTATTTGTAAGCATTTTGGAGACCCCCTTTTAGAGTGTAAGCTTCTGGAGGGCAGAGACTGTATCACTTCAAAAAAACACCTTTTTGTTGTTGTAAGTTTAGCAAATATCAATATACACGAGCATTTCAAAATACAAACAAACAAAAAGAATTATATATTATAGTGGGAACTTCCGTAACATAAAATTTATTTTAAAAAACCCCAGCAAGTTTATATTACATTTGAAATGACAGTAACGAAGCTGTCCTGCTGGTTTATGTACTCCTCTGAGCTTCCCTCTGCTCTTTTGTGTATGTTTTAAATGTTTCTTTGGTGTTCATTTCTTTCCTCTTCAACTTTCTTTTTTCCTTCTTTCTTTCTTTCTTTCTTTCTTTCTTTCTTTCTTTCTTTCTTTCTTTCTTTCTTTCTTTCTTTCTTTCTTTCTTTCTTTCTTTCTTTCTTTCTTTCTTTCTTTCTTCCTACCTTCCTTCCTTTCTTTTTCTCCTTCATTCTTTCTTCTCTGTCTCTTCCTCCTCCTTTTTCCTTCTCATCTTCCTCCTCCTCCTCCTCCTTTTCCTCCTCCTCCTTCTTTTCCTCCTCCTTCTCCTCCTTCTCTTCCTCCTCCTCCTCCTCCTCCTTCCTCTTCTTCTTCTTCTTCTTCTTCTTCTTCTTCTTCTTCTTCTTCTTCTTCTTCTTCTTCTTCTTCTTCTTCTTCTCCTCCTCCTCCTCCTCCTCCTCCTCCTCCTCCTCCTCTCTCTCCTCCTCCTCCTCCTCCTCCTCCTCTTCCTCCTCCTCCTCCTCCTTCTTTTCCTCCTTTTTCCTTTTCCTCCTCTACCTCTTTTCTCTTCTCCTCCTTTTCCTCCTTCACTTCCTTCTCCTTTTCCATCTTCTTATTTTTCTCTTTCTCTTCCTTTTTTTGCATCTTCTCCTAATTCTTTTCTTTCTCTTCCTTTTTCCCCCCATCTCTATCATTATCTACCAACTCTGTCTTCCACAGCATTCTTACTTTTGTATTAATATCATTAGTGCCTAGCATAATGGCTAACACATAGTACACAATTAATCAATGTACATTGATTATTAGATTATAAATTATTTGAAGGTTGGAATCTATAGTTTATTTTATTTTTTATCTCCTCCCTGGTACCTAGAATAGTGCACTAGATGTAATAGAAGCTTCAAGGGTTATTCAATGAATATTGAATGAAAATAAAATTTTGTACTCTTTTCAGAATGTTGCTACTCTTAGATCCATGAAGACAGCTTTATGCTTGATCTCACTATTCTGTTGATCTCAGCTTCCTTTTTAAAAAAATAAGACTTTCCATCAAAGAGTAATATGGTTCTTTGCTGTCACACAGCGCTGCCAGGTTCACTTGTCAACTGTCCCTCTGTGATCTTGAAAGTTCAGCTTCACTTTTCTCTCCCATGCTGGGAAGCTTCCAATGGCAGGGAATGGAAAGGGGAATCCACATGTCTCACTCTCCTTGCCTTGTGCAAATTCTTACTACTCCCAGTTGGGCATTTAGGTTAATTAGACATGAATGACAATGATGTGACTGAACTTATCATAGTTAATGTAGCTATTAAGAATACATTTCTATGCAGCATCTGTACATAATTTGGATAAGGAAGCATTAAACCTAAATGTATCCTTCCTTAATTATTTTAAAGCAAAAATGGAGAGCATTTTAGATTAATTTAAAATTTTATCTGTAATTCTGTCAATGTGAAATACAAGATTTATCTTGAACATGCACTGCACGTGTGTTGTGACACATGGCCCAGTCGTCCTTCCTCAAGAACTAGTTTTGAAAAGAAAGTAAAGCAAGGGAGAAAGTCAGAAGATAAATGAATTACCATAGGGAGAGATTAGAATTGTAAAAGTACAAAGAGGCAATAATAATGTGAAAAACTGCAAATAGGGCATACATATTTTTAAAATAAAAGGTATGAAAACCTAAAAGTCAAATTTTCCAGCTTGAGAGATAGTTACCTGCCGACTTTAAAAACTTTTACTAGATGTGTGACCCTGGGCAGGTTAATTATACTCTTTGAGACTCAGTTTCTACTCCTACTTATCTCATAGAATTATTAAGAGTGTCAAATGAAATAACAGAAATAATTTTTTTTTCAGATCCTTAATGCATTTTATAAATGTCAACTATATTATTGAGGTGAGGTGGAGCAGTGAATAGGGTGCTGGGCCTGGAGTCACCAAGTCATGAGTCCAAATCTAAATGGAGACATTTATTAGTTGTGTGACTCTGGGCAAGTCATTTGGCTGCCTCAGTTTCCTCATCTGTAAAATAAAGATAGCAATAGCACCTACCTCCCAGGGATCAAGTGAGATAATAATTGTAAACTACTTAGCACAGTGCCTGGCACATATTAACCACTATAAAATGTTAGCTATTATTATTGTTGTTGTTAATTTTATTAGTACTTCTTGAAAGCCTGCCAATTCTTAAAGGACTATATCTCCAATCGGACTTCTCCCTGGAAGCTTCCCTGCCCAGATGCAGCTAATTAGGTTAAAGTAAAATTATGTCCACTTTAAAATAGATTTTGATATTTGATTGATTGAATATACTGTAAGCAGAAGGAAATGAGTGACTCACATGGTCCAAGGCATGAGGAAAGACTCTCTGTTACCTGCCTCCCCACCTCACCTTACCCAGCCAAAATGATCTTTTCTGAAGCTGACAGGACTCTTCTCTGGGGAGACTCCTCCCATTAAAACACAAAAGTCACATTAAGTACAGCAGCTGAGTGGACCATGATGGACCACAATTTCTCAGCATTTAGTGCACATCTCTCCCACACACTTATCTCAGTGGAAAATGCATCTGTTGTTAAACTTAATGAAAATGTTTTGTTCAGCAAGATGTCTTCAGCCTGAGATTTTTATTCAGATCAGATCAATGAGATCAATTCTAAGGTAGAAAATGAAGGAAAGGGGGAGAGTGACCTGGTATCTGAGGTAATAGACTGTGAAGGACAAAGTTTGAAATTAAATCTAATGGTTTAAATGTTTCTACGATTCCCCCCCTCCCCCCATCCCAACTCTGCAGTAAGGAAATGAAACCAAAAAACTCCTCACAAAAAAAAAATTCACTCTAGATAGCTCTTCAGATAAGGGAATGAAAAAAAAAACACACCTCATCTATCACGGATGGCCATGTAATGGTAAAAAGCAGGTGTTTGGAGCTAAAATTCCTTAATGAAAACCTCTCTTGGGTCTGACCCTTCCATGTTGAATATTTTGTTTTTCTTATCATCCAATGAAATCGTCAGCTTGAATTAAAAATATAATTTCAAGAACAGCTTAGAATGGTTTATAGTTTCAAATAACTTTACTTCAAGCTAAGCTATATAAATGACAAAATTGCAGATTCACCAGCAGCTCAGGTCATTGCCAGAAACCAAGGATTAACCAAGGATTAAGTACATCTAGAGGATATCTTCAATGTATATTGTTGTTACCTTGATAGCAGTGATGGTGATGTTCTAGCCCAAGCCCAGACTTTGGTGGGAACTAACATCAGATTCTCTCTCTAAGTCCATCCTTGAGCCCCTTGGCAAAGCTGACTCTAGGCAGAGTTGTGAAGTAGGAAATGTTTGCCTTCAGCAAAGTCTCAAAACCTTAGAATGTAAGGTACTGCAGAGTAGGAATTTTATCATTCTTTATATCTGTCTCCCCAGCACTGGGCATGGTACGTAGTGGGAAACAAATATATGTTTCTTCATTAATCATTTGGCTACCAGTACTCCAACTACCTTTTGGTGACTTTCTCCTCTCATGGCAATCTGCTGTAGGCACTCAGTACCCCTGTGCTCTCCTTTCTCCCCCTATACAAACCACTTTCAGCTATCATTTGGGAAATAGGAAATAGGGACTAGACCTGAGTTTTCATTGGCATAGCAAAGTCCTGAGGAAGAAACTCCTCTGCCAGTGCAGACAGGTACCTTTCCTGCAAATTGTTGTCTTAGAGAGCTGCCAAAAGTGGCAGCATCATATATTGACTGAGAAAATCACATATCAACATTATCTATGTTCTATTGTATTTTTAATTCACTTTGTTAAATATTTCTCAATTATATTTTCACCCACTTCTGGCCCTACGCAAGAGTGTGGCAGGCCACAGTGCATGCATTTGGCAGTTATATGATTTGCCTAGGGTCATATAGCCAGGAAGTCTTGAGCCTATGTCTTCTTTGTTGTGAGGCCAGCTGTCTATCTACTGCAGCATAATGCCTTCTCATTTTGGAAATAATTCGTTAAATTAACTCATTGTAAGGTATATATGATCAATAGCAACTTACATGCCTGGCATGTAGTAGGTGCTTAATATATGCTCATTGATTGATTGATTATGCCTCTTAGGAATATTTGTATTTAAATAGGCCTCATCTACTATTGTTGCACCATAGGAGATTACTAGGAATTAGGATAGAGTTTATGGGCAGTGTCTGTAATTCACAATCTGGTGCTATAGTATTACATAAGGCCAGGCTCATTTAGATGGAGATATGAGAACCCATGGAGGGAGAAGGTGGGGAGGGTGTTGGAAAACCACAAATGGAAAGTTTTGCATTTTGTTAGGAGCAAGGGAATTCTGGAGCCAGTTTGGTGATTGTTACATTTTCAGTGTGAGCATTTACACCCCAGAAATTAGCAAATCATACAAATCAGGGTGTGATTGCTTGTTTCACTGATTGTTTAGTCTTAAGAAAGTGATGGAGAAAATGTTAGTAATTCATACTAAAATTAAAAATTTAAAACACTAAAATTAATAAATCAATTAATATTATTAATATAGATTAATTAACACAAAATTACTTAATTTAAAATATTAAAACTAAATGTGTCATTTGTACACTTTCCTCCAGAGAGCCCCTTATTAAGCTTTTACCAGCACACCCCATGTTAAGAACCACAGTTTTCAAAGAGATGGAGGGAGACAGGAAATGATAATGCAGGGCAGCATATTGATTGAATGAGTATTTATTCATTTTCCAAAGTGTCTCTCACAGCAATGCCCAGAGGATCATCATTATTATTTGGCATTTGCCATATAAAGCACTTTTAACTTTACATATACAAAAATGGGGGAGCGTTATGCATCAGTTAGTTCTTATTCATGCTACTCCCTAGAGGTACCTTAGAATCATCATTGTTCGCCAATGAGAGAGAGAGAGACAGAGAACGACAGAGAGAGAGAGAGAGACAGACAGAGAGAAAGAGAAAGACACAGAAAGAGAGAGAGAGAGAGAGAGAGAGAGAGAGAGAGAGACAGAGAGAGAGAGAGACAGACAGACAGACAGAGACAGAGACAGAGAGAGACAGAGAGACAGAAAGAGACATAGAGAGAGAGAGAGAGAGACAGACAGAGAGACAGACAGAGAGACAGAGAGAGAGACACAGAGACAGAGAGAGAGACACAGAGACAGAGAGTAGGCATGGATAGGTGAAGTAATTTTCTCAGGGTCACACATTAGTTTCCATGAGATATTCAGAATGTTAAGTGCCTTATTGTAATTCCATCCTTGACCTGTTAGATCATACTACTACCTTGTTTCTAGGATTTAAGACTGAACCGTGCTGAACTCATGAAGCACAGCACTGTATCTTCAGGCAACAGAGATCACACCACTCCTGACTCCCAAGGGTCTGGAATACTACTTATTAATATTTGTTTCACAACTCTGCTTTCCTGGTCATTTAATTGCTAAGAAAATGAATGGGGTCAGCAGTAATCGCAGCTGAAGTCCTTCATGCAAGAAAGCCCCAATCTGGTCAGAAGAACGCACAGTCCTTTCCCATATCCATCTCTAGTCAGACAGAGAAGATTAGCACAGGCTGATGACAGTGATAGGGCATCAGCCGACCTAGTCTTTTAATCCTTGTCTATAGGGTCACTTCAAATGTGGAAAAAGCTGACCTTCCTTGCTTCCTTTAAGTCCCAACTAAAATCCCCTCTTTTTCTGGAAGCCTTCCCCATCCCTGCTTAATTTTGGTGCCTTCCCTCTGTTAATTATTTCCTATTTATCCTGCTGGCAGCTAGGTGGTACAGTGGATAGGGCCCTGGGCCTGTAGTCAGGAAGACCTTAGTTCAAATGTGCATCAGACACTTAGTAGCTGTGTGACCCAGGGCAAGTCACTTAACCCTGTTTGCCTCAATTCCTTATCTGTAAATGAGCTGGAGAAGGAAATAGCAAACCACTCCAGTATCTTTGCCAAGAAAACTCCAAATGGGGTCATGGAGAATCAGACAGGACTGAAATGACTGAATAACAATTTATCCTACTGGTCTTTTGCTTTGTATATATTTGTTTGCATGTTATCTCCCCCATTAGATTGTAAGCTGCTTGAAGGCAGGAACTGTCTTTTTCATCTTTTTGTATCCTCAGTGCTTAGTACAATGCTTGGCACATAGTAGGTATTTAATAAATGTTTATTGATTGATTGAGGACACCAAGTTTCTAGTACTAGTATGCTGTTAATTTACTATGTGACTTTTGGTAAATCAACCCCCTTCCATCCTTAAGCCTCAGTTTCATTATTTGTAAAATGAGAGTCATATACAGTGCAAAGAATGTTTGATCTGGAGTCAGAGGAATTGTGTTCAAGGCCTCGCTCTGACACTACCTGTGTAAAAGTCACTTATCCCTCCTTTCCCTTCAATTTCCTCATCTCTAAATTAGAGGATTGGACTAGTTGACTACCACTAAATTCCCTTCCAGCTCTAAAGTTTTCTTGGGCAAGTTATTTAATCTCTGGACCTCAGTTTCCTTAATTATAAAATAAGGCAGTTGACAAAGATGACCTTTAAGTTCCCTCTCAGCTCTGACTCCCTGATCTGGACCTGTATTTGAAGTCTTTCCAGATGATGTCTCATTGGCCTTCAAGAACCAAGGGTCTTCTCCCTGATGAAGACTTGGAGATCTTGGGGGAAGATCTACCCTTACAACTGGACAATTTACTATGGCATCATTGTGGAAACTGAGATGAAAAGAATTTAAAATAGAATACAAGTATGCAATGACATAGTTTCTTAGCTCCAGAATGTGGAGAGTTAAACTCCATTTGCCCTACCACTCACCACTTTTGGCTTCCCCGGTCTGGGAATAGCAAGTTCTAAGGCAGATGGTGGAGCTAAGGTCTGTTCAGGGCTATGAGAAGGAATGAGCAGATCTGGACCAAGGTGAGTCTCCAGGAAGGTTCCCAGCAGCTTAGGGTAGGAGTGGAGGGAGAGAGGAAGGGAAGGAGGGAGGAAGAAACATAAGGAGGGACCTGATATTAATAGTGGTTATAAGGCTAGTACTTCCCCAAGGTAAAGCAAAAAAACCCCCAAAAACCCAAAGAAGATCTCTATCCAAATTCTTACCTAACAGAAATGTATAAAGAAAAATAATTTAACTTACCTTCCTGTCACTACCATCCTCCCCCTGGAAATCTAGAAGGACAAAACTCCAATAAATGTAATCTTTGCCAGCATCTTTACATGATATTCCGGATGTCACTCTGCAGCCAAGTGGGGAACAAGAAGGCAAATCACTGAAGTTATTTCTGCAAATCCTAAAGACAAAGAGACAATCACACTTGGCCTGTGAAACAATATACCTCCCAAAATAGAGCCCCAAACATCACTGCCAGTTTTAAGACTGATATTTACTGGCTCTGAAGAAACACAGATGGTTCATAGTTGCATGGGGAGAGGTCTGGGGAGTATTTAGCTCAACTTCAAAAGGGATGCTGATTAAGATAGGGTTTGGTTCCTCTAGTTTTGCAGCATGGGGTCTATATGCAAAAATAGAAGCTCCGTTAACTGCGCTTCAAGGCTGAGCTCCAATTCCAGCTCCTCTAAAAAGGCCCTCAAAGTGCTGCTCTGTATAATTCATGGCATCATAGCACTGCTCTTTAGAATTCCTTTAAAAATTAATCATATGTGACTGTATGGATTCTGCTGTTGTCTGGAACACTTACTCAAAGCATGGTACCATAAGAGGATACCCACACACAGATATTTTATGTGTGTGTATGTATGTGTATGTGTGTGTGTGTGTGTGTATACACACACACACAGAAACAGAGAGAGGAGATGATAGAGACAGACACAAACAGAGACAGACAGAGAAGAGAGAGAGATGGAAAGGAATTCAATGTCTTCATTTTACAGATAAAGAAAATGAGGATGACAAAGGTTAATTGACTTATCTAAAGTCACCTGGGTAGTAAGTAGTAGACTCAGAATTTGAACCCAGATCCTCTTGCTCCCAGTCTAGTAGTTTTTCTGTTTACAGAGGTAGCTAGGTATTGCAATGGATACAGTGCTGCAAGTCAGGAAGGCATGAGTTTGAATGCAGTCTCAGATATTTACTGACTATGTGACCCTGGGTAAGTCATTTAGCTTCTCTCAATCTCAGTTTTACTCATCTGTAAAATGGGGATAATAACAGCATCTACCTCCCAGGGTTGTTATGAGAATCAAGTGAGATAATAATTGTAAAGTGCTTTGCAAACCTTAAGGTGTTATATGTTAGCTTTATTATTAATACTGTGAAGTTTAAAAAATGTTATGTCCTGTCTTCACAGCTAGATTTAAATCTATTTAAGAACAACAATATTTCATAACTTCTGTCTCCAGCTTCTGCCCCCCACAGTGCCTTATTCATGCCATGTTATTCTTATTAAATAATACTATCACTGCTACTACTACTGCTATTACTAATACTTTACTATTACTTCTATTTGTACTACTACTACTACTACTACTACTACAATTACTACTACTACTTCTACTACTATTACTATTATTATTACTACTACTACCTCTACTATGACTACTACTACTACTACTACTACTACTACTACTATTCTACTACTACTACAATAATTACTACTACTATTGTAGCTGCTGCTACTACCACTTCTACAACACATTTGTTCAGCTGATTTGGGTTTGATCCACAGTATTGCAAGAACTTAGCTGGACTTTCTGAGCAAGGGTCTTAACATTGTTATTGTTCCAGCTGATCTATAATAGTTTTTTTTTTGTTTGTTTCTGGCTGACAGTGTGGTTCTAAAAAAAAAACCAAACAAACAAAACCCTGCATGTTCCTCATGGCTATGCTGAGAACCTGACTGTGAAGTGAGAAAGAGCTTGGCAAGGTTTTGTAGGAAAGAATAAGTGATATTTATAAAGTACAGGTCTTCTCACATCTCTTCCCTGCCCAAGAAGCTGTAGGGGCTCCCGTAGCTCAAGAATAAAATGAAAGAAGCATGTAGCTCTAGAATAAAATGCTAACTACTCTGTTTGGCATTTGAAGCCTTTTACAATCTGGATCCATTCTGTTTCACAGGTCATTGTAAATTACATGTCTTTATATTTTTTATGGTTCAGCCAAATTGGTCTAGCTTTTTTTTTTTTTGGCAATTGGTGATAAGTGACTTGCCCAGGGTCACACAGGTAGTAAGTGTCAAGTGTTTGGTCTGAGGCCAGATTTGAACTCAGGTCCTCCTGACTTCAAGTCCAGTGCTCTCTCCACTGTGCCACCTAGTCGCCCTGTGGTTTGGGTCTTTTTAGTACATGACACATCATCTCTCACTTCTGTGACATTGACTAGGCTGTCTCCCATAGATTGAATATATTTCCTTTCTCACCTCTATGTCTTAGAATTTCTATCTTTTTTTAAGACTCAGATCAGTTACTATATCCTATAAGCATCTCAAGCTGATCCCCAGTTGATGGTACCTTCCCCTTTCCAGAAATTACTTTGTATTTGCCTTTAATGTATTTTTTTCTTGTTATTTTTAGTGTTCATGTTGTCCCCCCCCCCCCAGTACAGTACATACTACATGAGGGCAAGGCCTGTTTCATTTTTACCTTTGTATTCCCAATACTTAGCAAAGTGCCCTGAACTTAGTAAGTGCTTAACGAATTATTGGTGAATTGAATTGAATCAATGAATTTAGAGTCAGAAGACCTGGCTTGCATTGCATCTGTTACTTTATTAACTAACTCTTGGTCAAACTGATTATTTCTTTGGCCTCAGGTCTCTTCTCTGTAAAAGGAGAGAGTTGAAATGGATCATCTCTAAGGTCCTTTCCCAGCTTCCAATCCATCAAATACTGGTTACACAAAAGGGAATAGCTACCAAACCCACTTATTTAAGCAAAATATCCAGCAGTAATTGGAGAAGTTCTACAGACTAGGATATATCAGAAAATAAACAAGAGTGAATGAACTTTTGAGAACAAAGTAAAATCTCATCTCAAATTCAGAGAAAGGCCCTGATCTCACCCAAGGGGAAATCCTCTTTTTGAATTTTCTAGGCTCACTATGCTTACTATGTTCCAGGCACTGTGCTAAGCACTGGCAATACAAAGCAAGGTAAAGACTGTCCCTTTTCTCAAGTGACTCACATTTGAATGGATTCCGTAGTACCTAGAACACTGCCTTGTACATCAGAGGGGCTCAGTATCTGAATGAATGATTACAATTCAGTAGCATGATGTATATCTATGAAGGATAATATATTCCTTGTATCTCTGGACATCATGGAGGCTGTCATTTGGGTCTCAAGATACTTTGGCATTCTGACTATTTTACAAATAGAGTCATGAAGGCATGCAGAGGTTATGACTTTAAAGTAAAAAAATGCAATTAGAATGAAATAACTCAAGATTAGCTTCCTCGCCAATGCTAGCATTGTAAGGCTATTCACTCAAGAGTTCATGATATGTGACCATCCTTCACTGCATCCATGGGATTACAAACTGTCATCTCTTATAAGTCTCTGACAGTGAAATGTAGACTCCTTCATCTGAAGCGTGCTTCCTGAAATTGCACCTTAGGGTCACTGTTGGATTACAAATTATATTTCAGATCAGAGAATAAACTGATACTGGAAAAATAAAAAGCTCGTGTTAGTTTGGTTTACATTTACAGAATGTAGGACATTTGTATTATAACAGAGGATTGTGGGGATGGAAGGGACCTTGAGAGGTCATCAGCTTCATCCCTTTACCTGTCAGTAATCCTACAAAAAAGACTTGGAGCATAGCACATGAGTATGACTCCTGTCTCTACCACTTTCTATCTGTGTACCCCTGGGTAGCTGGTTAACCTTCGTAGTCCTCAATTTTCTCATTTATAAAGTGAGAAGGTTGGAATAGAGAATCTCTTCTACATTTAAATCTTGTGATTGTTATCCATTGGATTTCCCCCATCATTCATGATTTCACACGAATGCCTGTGTCTTATGTGTGACACTGTGGATGTTTGGTCTTTGTCTCAGCTTGAGAGCAGAATTGAAGTGCAGAATCACTTTAGGATGAGACACCTTGGGCTTGCCGTAGTACTGTGCCATATCCTTTGTGGTCTCTAGGCATTTATTTCCCCATCGTGTACCTGGATGGCAATAGCAAGTCCGTAGTCTGTCATGTACTTGAGAAATCTAGGTGACTGAGCACAGAAAACCTCTGAATTTGTGATAGAGAATATCCTTTTATTTCCAAATAATTTGTCAACTATCTCAATCCCACACATATCAGTCTTATGCTTGTTTCCAACTAACTGCTATTAGGAACTAATTAAGACTTTTTTTTTTAAATGTAAGGGCAGAGCTTTGGAAAGAGACAGTTGTCAGCAACACTTTCTGCTAGAATTAAAATGTCTATTACTAGGATTCTCCAGACCCTGTCCCTTTTGAATAAGGATGATGTTTTCAGCTAAGCTTCATTTAAAAAAAACACCCAGTGTTGCTATTAGCTAGCTATGGGACCTTGAGGAAGTCTCTTTACTTTTCTGTGCTTCCATTTGTCCAACGGCAAAATGAAGAGATATCAGACTAGGTGATCTCAAAGATTCCTTCCAACTCTCACATTCCATGGTTCTATGAGAAGACATTCATCTATAAGTTTCTAAAGTGTAGACCTGTACCTATAATAGGTTACATTTTTTTTTTTTTTGGCTAGGCCATGGGGTTAAGTGACTTGCCCAGGGTCATATAGCTAGTAAGTGTCAAGTGTCTAGTCTGAGACTGGATTTGAACTCAGGTCCTCCTGACTCCAGGGCCAGTGCTCTATCCACTGCACCACCTAGCTGCCCTCAAACTGATTACACATTAAGTGATACTTGAGTCTAGACAAACTGAACACCTTGTTCTTCCTTACATGACGTTCCATCTTTTATGTCTATGTCTTTGTAGAAGCTGTTCCTCTTGCCCGGAATGTATTCCTTTACTTCTGCCTCTTCAAATTCCTGGGGAAACTTTCTGTGGAAGTCTCCTAGTCACCAGTATATGAAATAATGAGATCCCTTAAAAATAGTTGGTGATGTTAGCAAAATAACATCAAGGCTATTTTTGTATCTGTAAAATTAAGACAATGCCATATTTTCTTTTATGCAGATTATCTCTACAATGTAGATCTGGATCTCATGAAATTGGAATATTGATGCCAAGCTAATATAGTTGGGTCATTGAACCATAGTTTAAGAACTGACAATTTACTGTCATTTCATCTGTGATATTCTCTGTGTTACATTAACCAATCAACACCATTATTATAGTACCCTATTAAGTCTTGGGCTTTTGAATGGCAATATAATCTTTTGTTCTATAAGGAGAGATTATCCTTTTGAAATGGTCATAAAATAATTCCATTAAGCTCTAGGACTTTTCTTTATTGTTAAATCAGATGCACTGGTTCTTGTTGGAGACAGAAAATATTCAACTTGATCTTATTCCTAGACTGTACCAATTAATTGTCTTAAAAAGAAGACCTGGAAAATTTTTTTAAAAAGAGAATGTCTTATGAATCAGAAATCGGATAGATTCCATTCTCATTATACCAGTTATTCTTGATTCCCTCTCAGTGGTCAAAATTTTACTACAATGTTCTCAAAGATACAAAAGCAACAAAGGCTATGTTTATACTTTTTATGGAACTCAAGAATTAATGTTCTTATGAAAGTAATATCTAATTTTGTCTAAATTGTACTATATTCAGTTTTTCTTGATACTAGTTTAATTGATGTTGGCACTCAAAAGTGGTGGTTTGATTATTGTAAGTGGAATTGGATGAGAATAAGCTATTTCACATGACTGCTATCAGGCATCTCCATAGTGGCTGAAGGATGTCCCATATTGCATTCATCAGTGGGAGGCTGCTATGCTGATGACTAAGTGATTATCATGATGGGAAATGGCCTCAACCAGTTGTCTGCTTCTGAATATCACTTGTGTCCTGATAGCTGGAGAAATTCAGTTGAACTACTTCAATGTGCATTTATACAGCACCTACTTACTATGTATAGCTTACCCTATAAGGTGCTAGAAGAGCTACAAAGGAGCTCTAAGATATATCCCTTTGCCACCAGAGAGCTTACAATCTAATAGGGGAGAGAAGGAACACACACAAACAACCACAATATATAATAAAATGTGCTATGTGCATAAGAATAAAAAGAATCATCCAAAGTCTGAGGAAGGGAAGTTCATCTCCCACTTGGAGGATCAGGGGAGGCTTCATTGAGGAGGTGTCACTTAAGCTGGGCTTTGAAGGTTGCATAGGATGCCAACAGAAAGAGTACTATTGTGGCAATAGTGGGAAAAGTACTGGAATTGGAAATGTAGACAACTGGATTTGAATCTTACCTATGATACTTACAATTTGTGTGACTTAAAGCCAGTCAGGAGTGGTATAGTGGTTAGAATTCTGGACCTGGAGTCAGGAAGACCTAAGTTGAAATTTAGCCTAACTCATTTTCTAGCTATGTGACCCTTGGCAAGTCATTTAACTATTGTCTGCTTCAGTTTTCTCATCTGTAAAATGGGAATAATAATAGCACTGGCCTCCCAGGGTAGTTGTGAGGATCAGATGAGATAGTATTTGTGGAGCCCTTAGCCCAATACCTGGTACATAGTAGGTATTATATAAATACTAGCTATTATTATTTAAGCCACAACATATTTGAACCTCAGTTTTCTCATAAGAAAAATAGGGATAATAATTATAATACCTGCTTCTCAGGATTATTTGACAGAAAGTCTTTTGAAAACCCTGTATTTCCATCCCCCTCCCCCTCCTGTGATTTTATTGGCTTCGTTCAAGATTCTGCCCTCTGAGATTACTTCGTGTTTTCTACTGTATGTATCTTATATGTAATCAGACTGTGGAGGGATTTGAATATTACACTAAGGAATTGGGTTCCCCCCCACACACACCAGGCAAGAGAGAACTTTTGAAAAATGTTGAGCAGAAGATCTTTATAAAGGGTTTCTAAATTCCCTTTGTTGTCAGTATTCGCTCCTTAAATGAACTTGTATTTGCTTATCTGTGCATGTTATAGCTAGCTTTTTCCCTTCTGCCAAGTAGGATATAAGTTCCAAGAAAGTAGGGACAGTCATCTTTGTGTGTGTGTGTGTGTGTGTGTGTTATTGTTGTCTTTGCTCCCTAGCCTTGTACAAAGTAATCTTTTAAAATTTGAATATTGAATTTAAGAGGGATATCACTTTGTGCAAAAGGGATATTAAACTGTCAGGAAGGTAATGGATATATGGTAGGATGAAGAGATTTGACACCAGTTAGGAGGAGGATGTTGCCCTAATCCAGGTGGGTCACTGATATCTAATTAGAAGGAGAAAAAAATTCTTTTGTATTGGCTATCTTTTAGAGGTCCCCTTCTGCTGCCTTCTGAATCTCTTTTGTTATATTATGGTGAGGTACTCTGGGGACTTTCCCCTCCCTTGTCTGTAATTCCCTAGATATTAGTAAGACTCAAGGATCCAGTATAAAAAAGTTGGATGAAGCCCTTCTCCTTCTCCAAGTACAGTCCCCTTGGCTCAGTTCCCATCTGTTCCCATTCCCTTCCTGGATGCTATTCCCCTACCTGGGATAACCCAGAATCCTATGCTGCTCTGGGCTTCCCAACAGTCATTGGCCAGGGACATGACCTGTTCATACACTTCTTCGATAGGCAGAATTATCAAATACAGTCTTTCCATTAATACAGTGGCCCATTGGGCCCCAATAAAAAAAAATAAAAAAACCTTATAGCTGAATCCTCTTATGTGTATTGTCTCTCTTAATTAGAATGGGGACTACCTTCTTTTTCCATTTGTATCACTAGCACATAGTAAGTCTTTAATAAAATTTTCCCCCATTTATTCCTACTGTGGATCTGGGCAGATTTACTACTGTCTGTGGATCAATGTAATTAGAGCTTGAAGGGCAGTTTGCAGTTTCAGTAAGCATTTATGAAGCACATAATCTCTGGATGCAGAGATAAAATATATATAGTTCCTTTCCTCCAATAGAAAGAATGCAGTTTGTATAGAAATAAGTATGGCATAAGGTAGCATGTATCAAAGGGCAAAGGAATTTTCTTAAATGAACTGCTGCCAGAAATATGAAGAGGAAAAGACCACTTTCAGATAGAAGGATCAGAGAGGTTTTATAGGGGTGGTGGTAACTTAAGTAGGCCTTGTATGCACAGAGATGTGAGAAGCTTACCTTTCTGGCAGGTGGAATCATTATTACACAGTGGCAGGAGAGGATAGGATATGATTAGTATAATTTGGTGGGACATAATATAAGAAGGGAGATAGACAGATGAGGTTGAGTGGATAGGTTGGAATGAGCTTCTGGCTTTAACTTCAGAAATCTTAATGTGTGTGTGTGTGTGTGTGTGTGTGTGTGTGTGTGTGTTTTGGTTTTTTTTTAAATCGATCAAGATTCATGCTTTAACAAAGTCGACATGCTTAGGTTTTGTGATGACAGCTCTTCAAAAGAACAGGATATAGCTGGAGCTTCATATTTTTTTTCTAAAATTTTCTCATGTATTATTATTCTGTTGGTTGAGAAGGCAACCAGGTTAATGAGTGTTAATTACAATTGACTTTGTAGAGAAAATTTACACTTGAAATTTTTCAGCACTACCAAGAGCAAACTTTCTGCCTTGATGAGTGCAAATAAATTTTAACTCAATGCTACTATTTAGCATGCAGGGAAATTTCAGTTTCTATATTTGTCATTTTATTATTAATTGGTTCTTTAGTCAAATAGAACTTCCAAGTTTGTAGAATTTGAAATGTGAAGGCATATTTGAAAATATTTTATTTTCAATTCACAGAAAAAACCAAACATTTCCATAACATAGTACAATAAAAAAGATGGTTGCACATGAAACTGCAAATCTATCATGTACAACTTGCTATTCCCTCCAAATGTACAACAAACTTATTATATAAATTTCATTTTCTTTCTTTTTATTTCCTCTCCCCACTTCCCAAGAAAGAGTTGAGGAGGAAAAGACATATTTTTTTCAAACTCAGGGAACAATTTTCATTTTTGGGTGGCAAGAAATGATACTGGAACGTGACACAATTTAGCATTTATTTGACTAATTTTTGCCAAATTCTGATTTTGTGTGCACCATAGCCTGATACTGTCAGCTTTGCCTTGAGACAAGGTGTAGATGTTGACCATTGGATCTGCCTTCAGTTTTCTAAAAATGCCATCAAATAGTAATATATAGCATTTATGTAACATTTTAAGGTTTGCAAAGATACAAATGTCACAACAGGTAAGTATTATTATTATCTTGTGAAAGGTGATGTTGGCACATGGTTAAATGATGCATAGTCCTTTGACATCAGAGAGTTTACAAACTAGTAGAGAGGATGCATACATGAACAACCACAATACAAAATAAAATGTTCTATGTCCATAAGAATATGTAGAATTATTCAAGGTCTGAGGAAGAAAAGTTCATTTCCAACTGGGAGGATCAGGGGAGCTTCACAAGGATGTATCGTTTAAACTGCACTTTGAAGGATGTATAGGATGTCAACAGAGTAATATTGTGGTATAGTGGGAAGAGCATTGGATTTGGAGTTAGTAGATACCTGGGATTGAGTCTTATCTCTGATACTTCCTTCTATTTGTATGATTTTGAGCAAGGCAGGCAGCTAGGTAGTGCACTGGATAGAGCTCTGGACCTGGAGTCAGGAAGAACCAAGTTTAAATCCAGCTTCAGATACTTACTAACTGTGTACCATCTGATACCTAGGGCAATCATTAAGAAAGACCTCACGCCACAAACCCTGGAGCATATACCCCCATGCTAAGAGAGATAGAAATCCTGGGACAACCTTAGATCACTGGGGGAAGGACTAAGATGAAACCTGGCTGAAGTATTATAGGTGTTAACAGCATCCTCTGTGTTTCTATACCCAAATCCTTGGTTGCATCCCCCCTACCCCAGTTACAACTCTTAATTCATGGGTAGCAGTGTAGAACATGGGCATACTGAACCATATATCTTTTTTTGTTTGCTTCAGAATTTTTTTTGTTATTCTGAAATTGACAACATAAACACTTCCACATACAAAGAAGAATAGAAAATGTTTATATAGGACTCAGGTTTTTTAAAAAGTACATAATAAATTCAACTTGGTAGTTACCAAACTGTCCCACTTATGTCTCTACACTTCCTTCTGTCTCTTCTGTGCATTTGAAAATGTTTCATTTATTCTTCTCTCTCTCTCTCTCTCTGTCTCTCTTTCTCTCTCTCTGTCTCGCTCTCTGTCTCTGTCTCTGTCTCTCCCTCTGTACGTGAAGAGGAAACATCATTATCATTAACCCTAGTACTGGAATCCCTCATACAAGTTAGAGGCAGATAGGTGATGGAATGGATAGAACGTTGGACCTGGAGTCAGAAAGACCTGAGTTCAAATCCAGCCTCAGACACAAAGCTGTGTGATTCTGGGCTAGTGACTTAACCTCTGCCTGCTTCAGTTTCCTCAACTGTGATATAGGGATAATAATAGCACTAACTTCCTAGAGTGGTTGTGAGGATCAAATGGGATAACATTTGCAAAGCACTTAGCACAGTGCCTGGTACATAGTAGTAGCTATATAAGTCATTTCCTTCCTTCCTTCCTTCCTTCCTTCCTTCCTTCCTTCCTTCCTTCCTTCCTTCCTTCCTTCCTTCCTTCCTTCCTTCCTTCCTTCCTTCCTTCCTTCCTTCCTTCCTTCCTTCCTTCCTCCCTCCCTCCCTCCCTCCCTCCCTCCCTTCCTTCCTTCCTTCCTTCCTTCCTTCCTTCCTTCCTTCCTTCCTTCCTTCCTTCCTTCCTTCCTTCCTTCCCTCCTTCCTTCCTTCCTTCCTTCTTCCTCCCTTCTCTTCATTTCCTTTTCTCTTTCCTGTCTCTTTCCCTCCCCTTCTCCTTCTTCCTCTTCCCTTTTCCTTATTTCCTTCCATTTCTTCCTTTTCCTTCTTTCTTTCTTTCTTTCTTTCTTTCTTTCTTTCTTTCTTTCTTTCTTTCTTCTTCTTTCTTTCTTTCTTTCTTTCTTTCTTTCTTTCTTTCTTTCTTTCTTTCTTTCTTTCTTTCTTTCTTTCTTTCTTTCTTTCTTTCTTTCTTTCTTTTCTTTTGTGTGTTTTGCCCCTTACCCACTTTCCTGTCAGCAGGTTGAAAAGAGCTGGCAAGATAAGATTTAAAAAATCAAATAACTATCTTCCAAGAGATCATCTCTAAATTAAAAACAAATACTGCAGTCCCCCCATCTTGTGTTGCCCCCCCAATTAAACAAAGAGATTGAAACCATGATAAACTAAACCCTTTTAAGTACAAATACTAGCATGGGAAGAGCTTCAAGAATTTGAAGTGGCCTAGTAACATCAGAGGAAATGATGGGAATTGTAATCTAAGCACTTTTCAAGTGCTGTGTATTTAACTGTTGAGTTTATTGCACGTGGGCCTGGGGAATCTCTGGGCAAACTAAATATGCAGTGTTTGGAAGATTATTCAATATTTTGTTAGGTTTGTGTAAATGTAACATAATTAGAACCTGGTAGACTCTTTGAGCCTTTGACCATAGTTGGTAATTTTTTGTCACAATTTCATTAATGTTCTACTCCAGAGACATCCCTATCTCCATGTTTGGCTTTGGATGTGATCAAGGTCTTAATAGCTTAAAAAATGAGAGGAAAAAAAAAGAATTGCTATCATCTCATGCAAAGGAAACATCTTTGCAATCTTCCCATTTACCCACCAAATTGAATGTCCTGGAAATATATCAAACATAACATATCTAAAACTGAACCAATTATCATTGCCCAAACCCTCCCCTCTCCCAAATATCCCTATTTTTGTGGGCAAGCCAGGCTCCTAGGTTCATAACCTTAGCATTATCCTATGACTCTTTACTGTCCTTCACCCCATATATCCAGTAAGTTACCAAATCTTGCTATTTCTAGCTCTCAAATCAGATCCTTTCACTCCTTTCACACAGCTGCCATTTTAGATGAGTCTTTCATCACCTTTCACCTGTGTAATTGCAATGGCTTCCTCACTGATCTCAAGACTCTTCCACACTACAGTCCATCAGTGGTACACCATGAAATAATTTCCATAAGCAGGGTAAATTTCTCTCCTCCCTACGTCTGTCAAATGTCAACAAAAACCATTCACGTAATTGCTTATTGGGATTTAAAACTTACTATCATGTATAAATGCAACCAATTTTTCCATTTAGAGCTATGTATCCTTGTGAGACCAGATGCAGTATCATATCACAAGTGGATAGACACTGAGCCTTGAAGTCAGGGAACTTCGGGTTCAAACCCTGTCTTAGACACATACTGGCTGTGTTACCCTGGGCCAGTTGCTTAATTTCTCAGTGTTCTAGGCACCTCTCTAAAGTGGTAAGTTGAAGAAAAGGCACTGACCAGCATTGGTAGAAGGAGTTCCCTAACTCAGGAGTTCTCTATACCAGTGAAATCCCATATTCAGACTGTATTCCTGTCATTGTGAGGTATCATTTTTCACCCATGATAGCCATTATGACTAAGAACCCACATAAACTGTAACTCAGAACCAGACCTTTGAAATATTACATCACAAAGCATCAAATCCATTTTAAAAATAATAATGATGCATAGTCAATCCCATTAGTATAAAATTTTTATTCTATTGGTAGTTTTAAAGAATCAGAAAATGTTTTATTTGTTATCTCTTCCTTTTGAATATGAGTTACTATGTAGGTTTTGTAAAGAAGTACCTAGTATATTAGTAATATATGTATATGATTTATAAATAGTTAACTAGCATTTATAAAGCACCTTCTGTGTGCCAGGTACTATGTGAAGTTCTGGGGATACAAAGAGAGGCAAAAATAAACATATATATGGGTATACTTGCATTTTTAAAAATTATTTATTTTATTTTTAATTTATGGAATAAAACAAATATTTCCATAACATAGTAGACTAAAATAAGGTAATTGCACATGAAACTTCAATATAATAAAATTATCATGTAAATTTTTTTCTTTTTTTCCCTTCTCTGCCCCCTCCCTCCCTAGAAATGGCTACAATTAGACACATAGATGTAATATGTGTATATATATGTATACACACACACACACACACACACATATAACCATTCTGTACACCCATTTATCACCTCTTTCTCTGGATACAGATAGCATCTTCCTTCATGTGAACTTTGTAGTTAATTTGGGTATTTATACTAGTCAAAATGACTAATTTGCTCAAACTTGTTCTTAAAACAATATTGCTGTTAACTGTATGCAACTATTTCCAAAGATGATTAAGGAAAAAGGAAAAGAACCTATATATTCTAAAATATTCATAGCACCTTTCTTTGTGGTGGCAAAGAACTGGAAATTGTGGAGATACTTGTCAACTGGAGAATGGCTGAACAAGTTTCGCTATATGATTGTGATGAAATACTTCTGTGTAATAAGACATGATGAGCTCAATGATCTTAGAAAAATGTGGACAGACTGGCACAAAATAATGAAGGGTGAAATGAACAGAATCAATTTTTTAAATAACTGATAGGACTATAGGATCAAAAATGGTCTCGGGTTTGAAGACCACTGATCTAGTGGCTATATCAGTACATCTGGAAATTAGGGTTCTAACTTACCTTCTATTCCCTCTCTAGGAAAGGCACATAGGGGTGCCCTAGGCAGTAATGTAACTGTGTATTCCAGCAAACACATTTCATCTGTGGGGTTATTGTAATGTACTTTCATGGTACATATTGATCTTCAGTCTCCTTTATTCTTCCTTCTTACCCTGAGGCTTACCTCCTTTGACTTTCTCTCAATTATTTTTGAAATACCCTTGGTCAGTTTCGGAATACTCTTGGGTAAACTCCAGGACTAAGTTCTAGTCTAGTTCTGACGCTAATTATTTGTAACATCCCTGAGATACTAGGTAAAATTTGGAATGTTGAATCAGCCTCATTAAAGGAATGAAAGGTTGGGGGGGGTGTCAGAATTTTTTTTTTCAATTCTGTACCTCTAAATCAGTAGTGTCAAACTAAAATTGACACTGCAGTTGATATATTGAACTTAGAAAGTCACATATTAACATTATCTCTGTTCTATTGCATTTTTGTTTATTTTATTAAATATTTCCCTCTTACATTTTAATTTCATATCAGCTGAACTAGTGGTCATGATAAGGCTTGTGGTCTTCATATTTGACACCTCTTCTCTAGATAAGGACTGGAAAATGAAGATCAGAATCATACAATTTTAGAGCTGGGAGGGAACTCCAAGCCCATCTTGTACAACTTATACCAGATCATTGTACGGGTCCCAAACATCTTAGTGGAGTTTACTGCACTAGTGAATAGTATAGTGGGTTTAAAGACCTAGGTATAAATGATACCTCTGGCTCTAGGCAAGTCTCCTAAGCTGACAAAATCACAAATAACTCACGTCATGAAACCAGCCTGTTGTATTGGAAAGTAAATTGTACTAGGAGTTAGGAGGTATTGTTCAGTCATTGCCATCATGTCTGACTCTTCATGACCCCATTTGGGATTTTCTTGGCAAAAATACTGGAGTGATTTGCTGTTTCCTTCTCCAGCTCATTTTATGGATGAGAAAACTTGGGCAAAATGGTTAAGTGACTTGCTCAGGGTCACATAGGTAGTGAGTATCTGGGGCCAAATTTAGATTCAGGTCCTCCTGAGTCCAAAGTTGGCACTCTATCCACTGTACAACCTAGTTGCTCTAGAAACCAGGATACTTGAATTCAAATCCCAACTCTACTACCAATTAGCTATATGATTCTGGTCAAGTCAGCCTCTATGATTGTCCTGATGAAATCATAGATCTCTCATGGAAGTGGATTATGACATTTGGTGCAGTTTTGTAACTTTACTAAGATGTTGGGGACATCCAGGCAGCCTATTCTGCTTTTGGCTGGCTCTAAAGATTAAGAAGTTTTCCCCAGCGTCAAACTTGAATCTGCCTGCTGTTCTAGGTTCTGCCCTCTGGGACCAAACAGAGTGAATCTGATCACTTTTCCACATGATGGCCCTTCAAATACTTGAAGATAATTATTCAATGTTGAGTTGCTTATCTGTGTTGGGCATTCACTAAATATTTATTCAATTGAATTAGAGTGTCTTCATTTCCTCATCCATTGTTTGACTATTAAAATACACACACACACACACACACCACACACACACCATACACACACACACACGAACACTCCAATTGAAAAATGGGCTGTAGTCTAAAAAGTAGTCTCTAAATCTGTTTTGAACTCAGAATTAATTAGCTCTTGGAACAATGCTCTAAATGTTAGTCTTGGGTGAGTCCACATGAGACTATTCAACTGATTATTTAGCTAAAGTGCTATACTGCACCTTTGATATGAGAAAAAAATAGAGAAGAAACAAATTTGAAAACTAAAGTTTTTTTTTAATTTACCTTAAATGTTAGTTATTGAGAAAAGGATAAGACATAAGCATCCAAAAATGAACAGTGAAATAAGGTATGATTCCATGAAATTGTTGTCAGCAGAAAAGATGAACTGTTTACTCCTGTGTGGTTTTCTTTATTTTTATCCTAGGTATCTTGTTGGAAATGCAGCAAAGGTGAAAATTACAGTTAATCATATTGAGAAAGAAGTCTTGTTTAATCAGAATTACATTATAGACTAACCACACACAGTGGGTTTATAAGGATGCTGGAGGTCTGCAGCTGTATCATATCATTTTTAATGTAGCAATTGTAGCAAATGTAGCAATTTGACTTCAAATGCATTATTTGGTGGAGAAAACACATTCCCTAAACTTTCAAGAGGTTATAAAGTGGCTTTAGCCGTTTGATATAATGACAACCTAGGAGATAAAACTCATCAGGAGTCTTTAGACAAAAGATTAAGTTTATCAACTTTTCCAAACAATAAATACATAGAGGAAACATTACAAGGAAATATAATTAGGTGCATTTTGAAGTATTGTCAGTGCCTTAGCTATAGGAAAAATAGATGCACAGTCCCCAGAGAAACATTCTCAGGACTTAGAGAAAGAAGGAAGGGGCCTTAGAGAGAGCATTTAGTCTAATTTCTCACTTTACAGATGAGGCAACAGAGAGCCAGAGACATTAAAGTGATTTGTCATATTTAATAGGTAACAGAAACAGGATTCAAACCCGGGTCCTTTCACTACAAATCTGATGTTCTTTTCACTATACCATATAAATATACTATGTTGTCTCTGGAAGTGTCTACTAGCTTCAATTTAATCAGTCAGCCAGTCAATAAATGATTATTTTTTTAAATTTTATTTTAAAATTTTTAATTTATGAAATAAAACAAGCCTTTTCATAACATAATAGAATAATAAAAAGATGCTTACACATGAAACTGCAAATCTATTAGTACAACTTGCTATTCCTTTTAAACATATAATAAATTTATCATGTAAATTTCTCTTTTTTCTCCCCCTCCCCTGTCCTAGAAATGGCTACCAATAGACATAAATATATGTATATATGTATGTATATATATGTATATATATATTATACCTATGTATGTATATGTGTATGTGTGCATGTGTGTATGTAAAATAAACATTTATTAAACAGGCTATATGTTCCAGGCACTGTGCTAAATGCTAGTATACAAAGAAAGGCAAAAGACAGTTCCTGCCCTCAAGGGGCTCACAATTGAATTGAGGAGACAACAAGCATACTGACTTATTTAAATCTATTGTCTAACTCTGTTCTTTGTAATTTAGACTTCTGTGTTGACAGAAAATCAACCTCACTTTTGTTCTGCATTCATGGCTGTGTCTCTGTGCACACATTCTCTTTATTTGGGCTAGGTCAAATTAAGATATCCTGGTGTAAGAGAAAGAATGTTGAGTTTTGAGTCAGCCCAGCTCTTCTTCTTGCAGGACTCATATGAACTTGGCCATATTACTCAGTCTCTAAATATGTGTTCTGTTGTGGGCTCTTAAAAGAGCCTATAAATTCAGGAGCAACATTGAGGGGATACAGAGTTTTGTGGTTCCCCCTAAAACTACCCTTTGTGCCTTTGGGGTTCAGGAAGTATTTTCTCTTATTAGCCTTAGTAAGTACACCTTTCTGTTTAATGAACAAGTGTTGGGGGGCAGTTGTATTGGAACTGTTATCTTAGAATTTCTGAATTCTATGTAGGACAGGAAAAGGAGTGATCTGTAGAGACCTGTACCAGGTTTGGAAACAAAAAGGCATAGAGTACAAATACCACCTCTGATACTAGGAAAGCTACTTAAGTTGATAAAATAATAGATAACTTGTGTATGGAGGTCATGAAGCCAGTTTATTTTTTTTGAGGAGCATTTAGGAGTCAGGATACCTGGGTTCAATTCTATCACCAGCTAGATATGTGATTCTGGTCAAGTCAGCCTCTTTGCTTGCCTGATGAAATTATGGATA